ATATGTGCTCATAAAAATAGCAGAGTGAAATAACAGCATCATATTGACCTGCATCTAGCAATCTACAATAAATAGGACTAATTTTTGTCACACTATTTGTTATTTTTAAAAAGAGCCTCTTAGTACTAATTTTTTTTTCTTCCACAGTTGTGTACTTCTCTTCATTATTAATTGGTTATCTTTCTTTTCTTTATTTTAATATACAGTTTTAATATCAGTATTAGTAGGGATTTGGGCATGGGAAAAGACTGTTGAATGTTCTTACTTTTACCAAGACTAAAACTAATAAAAAGCAGAGTAGTATATTAAGGTGGGTCAAAGAAAATTACAAATTGTGGACTTAACAATAATTAAAACCTGTATTGTGCTATATATATACAAAGAAGCAGGCCAGACACCATGGCTCACACCTATAATCCCAATACTTTGGCTGAGGTAGATGGATTGCTTTAGCCCAGGAGTTCGAGATTAGCCTAGGTGACATGGCAAAACCCCATCTCTTAAAAAAAAAAATACAGGAAAATTAGCCAGGCATGGTGGGGCATGCCTATAGTCCCAACTACTTGAGCCCGGGAGGCAGAGGCTGCAGCAGCCACAATCACACCACTGACCTCCAGACTGGGTAAATGAGCTAGATCCTGTCTCAAAAACAAAAACAAAAATTAAAAAAATAGAGCTAAAATTAGGAGGGGAGGATGTAAACTTTCAATGAACATATATATATATATATATATATATGTAATTTTATTTATATATTTTATATATTTTTTATTTTATATATGTATACATATATATGTATAATATATGTATAAAGAAGCACATTGAATGGGTTTTACTTTCTAGTCTATATTCTCCTAATTCTTTCAGGTGCTCCTCTTATCCTATACAGGACCAATGTATTAGTCGTACAGAAAGGAATACAATGGAAGAACTATATCTCAGTGTACTATGATCCAAATGTTGCCAATTTATCAGCTTTAAAATTTATTCATGAAAAATTTCACATCAATTAATTTATTTTATATTTTATTGCTTCACAATCTATAAATTGTTTAGGATTCAGTTCTATCATTCTTTTTTTTTTTTGAGACAGAGTCTCATTCTGTCGCCCAGGCTGGAGTACACTGGCAAGATCTCAGGTCACCGTAACCTGCCTCTCAGGCCCAAGAGATTCTTGTGCCTCAGCCTCTCGAGAAGCTGGGACTACAGGTGCAAGTCACCATGCCCAGATAATTCTTTTTGTTTTTGTTCTTTCTCTCTCTCTCTCTCTTTCTCTCTCTTTCTTTTCTTTGTTTTTCTTTTCTTTTCTTTCTTTTCATTATACTTAATTTCTGGGATACAGCTGCAGAATGTGCATGTTTGTTACATAGGTACACATGTGCCATGATGATTTGCTGTACCCATCAATCTGTCATCCACATTAGGTATTTCTCCTAATACTATCCCTCCGCTCTCTCCCCAGCCCCCTGGTAGGCCCCAGTGTGTGATGTTCCCCTCCATGTGCCCATATGTTCTAGCTGTTCAACTCCCACTTACGAGTGAGAACATGCGGTGTTTTTCTGTTTTTGTGTTAGTTTGCTGAGAATGATGGTTTCCAGCTTCATTCATGTCCCTGCAAAGGACATGAACTCATTTCTTTTTCATGGTTGCATAGTATTCCATGGTGTGTATGTGCCACATTTTCTTTATCCAGTCTATCATTGATGGGCATTTGGGTTAGTTCCAAATCTTTGCTATTGTGAATAGTGCATCTGTCTTTATAGTAGAATGATCTATAACCCTTTGGGTATATAGCCAGTAATGGGATTGCTGGGTCTAATGGTATTTCTGGTTCTAGATCCTTGAGGAATTGCCACACTGTCTTCCACAATGGTTGAATTAATTTACACACCCACCAACCTCGATGTTCATCAGGGATATTGGCCTGAAATTTTTTTTCTTCTTGTGTGTCTGCCAGGTTTTGGTATCAGGATGATGCTGACCTCATAAAAAGAGTTAGGGAGGAGTCCCTCTTTTTCTATTGCTTGGAATAATTTTAGAAGGGATGGTACCAGCTTCTCTCTTTGCCTCTGGTAGAATTCGAGAGTGAATCTGTCTAATCCTGGGCTTTTTTTGGTTGGTAGGCTATTCATTACTTCCTCAATTTCTAAATTTGTTATTGGTCTATTCAGGGATTTGGCTTCTTCCTGGTTTAGTCTTGGGAGGGTGTATTGTGTCCAGAAATGTATCCGCTTCTTCTAGATTTTCTAGTTTATTTGCCTAGAGGTGTTTATAATATTCTCTGATGGTAGTTTGTATTTCTGTGGTATCACCGGTGATATCCCCTTTACCATTTTTATTGTGTCTGTTTGATTCTTCTCTCTTTTCTTCTTTATTAGTCTGGCTAGCAGTCTATTTATTTTGTTAACCTTTAAAAAAAAAAAAAACAAGCTCCTGGATTCATTGATTTTTTGAAGGGTTTCTCATGTCTCTATCTCCTTTAGTTCTGCACTGATCTTAGTTATTTCTTGTCTTTTGCTAGCTTCTGGATTTGTTTGTTGTTGCTTCGTTAGTTCTTTTAATTGTGATGTTAGGGTGTGGATTTTAGATCTTTCCTGCTTTCTCCTGTGGTGTTCAGTGCTATAAATTTCCCCGTTAACACTGTTTTAGCTATGTCCCAGAGACTCTGGTACATTGTGTCTTTGTTCTCATTGGTTTCAAAAAACTTATTTATTTCTGCCTTAATTTCATTATTTACCCAGTAGTAATTCGAAAGCAGGTTGTTCAGTTTCCATGTAGCTGTGTGGTTTTGAGGGAGTTTCTTAATCCTGAGTTCTAATTTGATTACACTGTGGTCTGAGAGACTGTTATATTTCCATTCTTTTGCATCTGCTGAGGAGTGTTTTACTTCCAATTACGTGAATAATTTTAGAATAAGTGCTATCTGGTGCTGAGAAAAAATGCATATTCTGTTGTATATTCTGTTGATTTGGGGTGGAGAGTTCTGTAGATGTCTATTCGGTCCACTTGGTCCAGATCTGAGTTCAAGTCCTAAATATCCTTGTTAATTTTCTGTCTCATTTATCTAATATTGACATTGGGGTGTTAAAGTCTCCCACTATTATTGTGTGGGAGTCTAAGTCTCTTTGTAGGTCTCTAAGAAATTGCATTATGAATCTGACTGCTGTATTGGATAAATATACTATACATATTTAGGGTACTTATATATAAAATTAGGATAGTTAGCTCTTCTTGTTGCATTGATCCCTTTACCATTAGGTAATGCCCTTTTTTAAATTTTTTTTCCATGTTATCAGTAGTTGAAAGTTTTGTTTTGCTTTGAGGCAGAGTCTCGCTCTGTCACCCAATCAATTCTTGTGCCTCAGCCTCCCAAGTAGCTGGGATTACAGGTGCATACCATCACACCCGCCTAAATTTTGTATTGTTAGTAGAGATGGGGTTTCATCATGTTGGCCAAACTGCTCCTGAATCCCTGGCCTCAAGCAATCTGCCTGCCTTGGCCTCCCAAATGCTGGGATTACAGGTTTGAGTCACTGTGCCCAACCCATTATCAGTCGTTTTTCATCATTCTCAGATTTATCAAGTTTTAACAATGTTATCAAATTTGAAAAATTAATTTTATTTAGTTTTTGACTTCCACTTTATTTCTTTCACTTTATTTAATTGTACTTTCTTGGCATTCATTTATTTTGTGTAGTGTTTCCTTGATTTTGTGTTCCTGCACGTGGGTAAAGCCATTCTTAAACATAGAACATCAGACCTAGGACAGCACTTGTCAGTTTATAGTATATTAGACTGTTCTGTGATAAACTCATTCCAATGCTTCTGTTCAAATGAGATTAAAATAAAAATGTGCACCAACACGTACATTTAGTAAAAAGATTCAGTGTCTATGGGAATCCGTAAAAGTCAAAGAGTAAAAGGAAGGCAATGAAGACGCATCAGAAGATGCATCATACTGAGTTACTCAGCAATGGAGACAATCCTGTTAGGGAGAGGAAGAAAGAACCAAGTGAACCATTAGCCTTGAAGGTATTGGAGAGGTGGCCATATGTGCCCTCCAGAAGCTGGGAGATGGAAACCAACTTGGCAAGCATGTGGATTGTCAGCATCTAACGAGCACAGATACACATAATATTACTCACTACTCCTGGTCATTTTTCTCTCTTAAATTTCCATTCTGATGTTTGTTAACCTGTCTTTTTTTTTAGTTTGGAAGCTAAATTCCATAACTACCAACACTGTTATTACTATCATTGTCAGGATCATCACCAACATGCCTAGACTACATTAATAAACACACAAGATGCAAAAGCACCCTTTACTGTAGTCTTCAGTTAGTTTAAACACACTATCAACCTTTATCAGGGAAGCAAGTAAAAAGCAAACACTAGAGGTTATACCTGAGAATTATTCCTAAGCACCAAAGTTATCACTAGTAATTCGCACTACTAATTCCAGCAAGCCTCACTTTATTTCCCGCTTATAAGACAAACTGGGTAGAAGTGTGGTCAAACCATTTGTCTATACCTTCAGAGAATGCTGCTTTTCCTAAAGCGTATTATGGAATATTTGTCTTGGGAAATGCCTTTCCTCCACACGCACACGAAAGACAAAAATGACTATTCCACAGTCCCTTCTCAAAGATTCACAAAGAATACTGGCATATTAAAACTTCTTGCAACAAATAAATGATCTGCTTAACTCTGCACGTTCTCAGTTTATCTGACCATGTAACACGTTTCCGCTCTTACCCTTTTAGAGGCAATCTATGAAAATCTTCCAGAACCTGTATTTCCAGAAAGACACTCTGGGATATACATCTTTTGATTGATAAAAAAATAGAAATTGAGATGCACGTTACACACTCCCAAAGTCTGAAAACTCTAATTATACAGCTCTAGAAAGAGGGAAGAGCAGCACAATCTAATGAGTGTTGAGAAAAAAAGGGTTTCTTGGAATCTCAAGGCCTCCTGATGAATGGTAAACGTTCCACTTACTTAAGGAGATTCCCCAGATTGAAAAGAGCCCGGTTATGCTGTGGATGGAGCTGGAGAGCCCTCTGATAGTACATCTTTGCCTCTGCTGTGTCTCTCATCAGTGTCCCAAGGTTGTTGAGGGCACTTGCATGGCGTGGATACAACCTGAAAAGTTAAAAATATTAAGCTGTGATAGTTCAAAAACTTCTCAACTGGGCACAATTTGTTGGTTCTTTTTCTTCCAGGTATGGCATAGCTAAAATGAAACACTGAATTATTCTTGTACTTGAATGGTTTGTGTCCAATCTTACTGGTTGGCTTTTACAATTGGAAAGTATATAATTAGGGCAAGGATGCACATATTTATAATTAAATGACTCTTAATTGGTACAAGAATAAATAGTATGTGGATCTACCAGGGTTAAAGACATGTAATAGGATTACTTTCCACTTCCTGTGATAGAAAATCCTCTCCTCCTTGCGTCAGGTACTGAGTTTCTGGCCTCAGTTTCTGGCCCGGTGGGGCTTCTGACCAGCTCCCTGTGCAGGGTCCACTATTTACACCAGATGCTGAGTGAACCTTTGGGGTGGAATCTTCATAAACATCTCTTTTTTTGAGACGGAGTTTTGCTCTTGTTGCCCAGGCTGGAGTGCAATGGCGCGATCTCGGCTCACTGCAACCTCTGCCTCCCAGGTTCAAATGATTCTCCTGCCTCAGCCTCCCAAGAGGCGTCACCACCATGTCTGGTTAATTTCTGCATTTTTTAGTAGAGATAGGGTTTCACCATGTTGTCCAGGTTGGTCTTTAACTCCTGACCTCAGGTGATCCACCTGCCTTGGCCTCCCAAAGTGCTGGGATTACAGGCAGGAGCCACCATACCCAGCCCATAAACATCTTTGGATTGGAGCATTAGTAAGGCTGCCATGACTGAGAAAGGATGATATAAAACATCATCCTATTAAAATAAACTTTACCTCCAAATGCCTCCCCTTCACTTTTTTCTATTTGATCTCATTTTCCCCCTCCTACTGCAATTTGGTTCTACCTGTCCTGGTACAGTCTCAGACAGAAAATACTAAGAATGTAGAACACTTAAAAATAAAAAAACAAAGCCACAATGAAGTCAAAAATAGCATTCCCCATGTTCAAAAGCAAATGTAAAGGAGAATGAGGTAGACATCAGTATACCAAATTTATGCTGATTAAGGTAGGAAGGGAACCAGTTTATTTTCTAAACACAAAACTATAAAGAAGCCAAATCCACACATCTCCATAATTCAATTGTTTCTGATATATTCAGAGTGGACATAGTTAGCAGTCTAGGGGATTTGTTCCACTTCTGTCACCCAGCGTACTGTGAATAAGCCAGTGGAGCTGGCTTTTAAGTAGAAATGCAAAGATAACGCCCAAGTAATAAAAACAGGATCTGTACTTGTCAAGCCCCTTGACAATCAAATGCCATGCTTGCCCCCTGTTCCATACCTTCTAAAAGATCAATTTAATTCTGGGACAGAAGAGGTTCCTATTAAAAGGACGGGAAAGACAAGTTGTACAGCTTTTTCATCTTTGCTCTACCCAGAGTCTCTTAAGTTTATTTGACCCTTCCCCACTCCCTACAGAACAGCTATAAACATCCCTCAGAACTAATATTTCTAGGAAGGCACTCTGTAATGTTCCTCTTGACTGACAAAGGCTAGAATCAATTCAAATGAATATTATATCCTCCCAAAGCCTGAAAGCCCTAATTATTCACAGAGGCTTTGGAGGCTGATAGGAGAGAAATGTTTAGAGGAAGTCTGGCAGAAAACGCCCTGAGCTAGCACATGCGCTGTTGTTTGCTTCTCTCTGATCGCATTTAATTAGCTCAGACAACATAAGGGTCTCTGATACTGGCCCCGTTACATCCAACTTCAGTTCCTGGGAGACAAGCGCTTGGTGCTCTCTCTGAGATGCTGTTAGAAGATATGAGGCTATGATGCTGTACCTATCCCTCCACTCCATGCCCAGAAAAGTGTCCTGTGAAGCTTGTGTCTAAGAATTACCTTGGAAGTGATTACAGAGCACATCACAGCTATGACTCAAATTCTTCTAAAGAAGCTTTGGTTTTTGTTTGCTTTTTAGATTAAGCAAAGCACTTTAACCCTCAAAAGATTAAAGGGCTGTCCAGTGCACATGGTGAGGACAATTCACATACTCCTTGTTTCCTTTACAACAAGCAGAACAGAAAGCAAATCTGGCACATGTGTCTTCCTTTTACCTAGAGGAGATAATTTCTTAAGACTTTCTCTTTTCCTTATTTCTTTAAGTCTCTGAGCCCTTGAAATGAACTTCTGAGGCAAAAACACTAAAGAATGGGACAGAATAAATTCAATAAGACCTTCCACCATGGGCTCACCCATGTAAGATGCCTGTTTGCTCTGCATGCAGAGCAGGTCATCTCCAGCAAGTTTTTAGGCCCAACGTCATGAACTTTATATTCACTCACGACCCCACTACCATTTAAATGAACAGTCATGTATTTCAAACGTCACTGCCTTCAGACATGGCTTTCTCTTTCTTTTTTGTTTCCTTCAAATCAGAAATAGAATACAAGTCCACCCTGAACTCTTAAAAACTAAAGCGAAGAGAAGTAAAGAGAAACAGAAGCACTATAAGAGAAAAGGCCTGTACTATACCTTGTGCTTTAAGAACCAACTTGCAGCTGCAGAAAAAAATGTGATGCTCAGGAGGAGGTACTAACTATAGTCAGGGAAGAGGCTCTATGTTGGCAAAGAGCCCCAACTCTTCAAGGAAGGGCACTGCTGATATTTACAGGGACTCACTGATTCTATAACCAAGCAAAGCCCGCCACCTGGAAAATGTGTAGCTATTGCTTATTCCTGGCAATACTAAGGGCCTGCTAGCATATCCTTTCTCTCTCTGGGTATCTGATGAGGCTCACCTAATCACAAGCAAGCTTTGTATTATTTATGAAACCAAGCTGAATTTCATTAAAAGGATTCTTAATAACCAGGTCAGAAAAAATAGCTTAAAAAAATACAGATGGAAATATTTTCTTAAAACATATTTTTCTATTTATTGCAGACCTAGCAAGGACAAAATTTATTTTGTGTATTTACTTTTAGCTAAATTTGCATTTGAATGAGCTTGAGTCTAATTCAATCCTGATCTCTCCAGGAAGGGAATTTTCTATTGGAAAGATGAATAATTTAAGAGATGAGTATGTAGCTACATCAATTGTCAGAATAAATTAAGTCCATCTTGACTTTGACTTCTACAGGTATGTTTTACAAATGTCCTGATAGTGGTTATTTCCTTCCCCATGCAGAAAACCTCAACAAAAGATGTGCTGAACTGGAACAGTGGTGATTTTTTCAGGCCTGTTTGTAAGAACACTCACTGGATTTTCCTTCTCACGGTATTCTTCAACATTTGAATTGTTTATGAGGATTCTTTTGCTATTTATTATTATTTTAATGAATCTAATTTTAAAAATTTATTATAAAGAAAATAAGTTAGATTGTTCAACTGTTCTGGGGTACAAGGAAGCTTATTATTTCCTCATCAAAAAAGAAATGTATGGGGCCGGGCAATGTGGCTTATGCCTGTAATCCCAACACTTTGGGAGGTCAAGGCCTGATGGCTTGAACTTAGCAGTTTGAGACCAGTCTGGGCAACATGGCAAAACCCTGTCGCTACCGAAAAATAAAAGATAAAAATAAAAAACAAAAACCAAACACTTACATATACAGAAGTGGTTCTATGAGCTGAAGAACAATTCATGTTCAAGCATTGGGTAGTTCAGTTTCTGGATAAACATAATATCCATTAAGCATTTTAAGGGTGCTTAATTTTTATCTAGTAGCATTTCCTTAAGTAGAATTAATAGAGCAGGTAGTCAAGGACGTTATTCCTCTCATCTTATGTCTGAAGAATTAGCGTCAGCATATTAGTAGGAGAAAGTCCCTGGGAAGGAACACTTGTCTAAGCCAAAACACAGAAGGTGGGACAAAAGAAAATGAGTTCCAGAGGACCCAGGATATGTAAAAATTACTTTAAATGTCTAAAGTGCTTTCTCAGACATTGTCTCATTTACCCTTCAAAATTCCTTCAGTAGAATTACTGTAGTATTTATTTTATAGTCAAGGAAAGGGAAATGGAGAAATTAAGTAAATAGCAGATTATGAAAAAAGCCATCTCATTCATTTGAGCCTAGGAGTTTGAGGCTGTGGGGCGCCAATGATGGTATCACTGTACTCCAGCCTGGGAGACTGTGAAACCTCATCTTTTAAAGAAAAGAAAAGACATCTCAGGGGCACTTGTGTTAGGAAGGCAGCTGGCTCCTGTAAATCTGTTTTCAAACTTCATTTGTCATTCAACATTCAGCAAATAAACATACTGCTACAAATTACAGCTTCCATTTGGAATAATTCTCCTTTTCATCTTCTTGTTTCTTTGGCTAAATCATTCAGCTATGATCTTATAGGAACTAGTTCTCAGTGGCAGAAGTGAAATAAACTCAATACCCAGAAAGCTTGGCTACTCAGAATCTTCACTGCAAAGAATTTGTCTTCTGCCATAAAAAATAATCATGGTATCTCTGAAATGCACAGTATTATAGAAAGCTATTTGGGATTAACAACACTCAGTAAGTGTGTAAGATGTACATTCAGGCTTTCTGATTTACCCTTCTTAGGCTTTAACCTCAACTATAAAGGGCCATAGACATAAGCTGTACGTGAATAAAATCTAGTTTTCAATTTTATGTCAGTTATTTACTTCAAATTTTGTACAATGTGTTCTAAAGTTAAGAATGCTGTTTGCTTTTCATTATCTGAGTGCCTTATATGGCATTTAATTGTTCAAAAAATATTGAATGATGTGCTCTAGTTTGCAATTTCCTTTAAGAGTATACACACCCTGATTTATTTTCAGGGTGTGTATACTTGTCTGATTTTCATACCACACATTAATTTATTTGAGGTTAACTAAGCTAAGGTCAGATGTTTATTTTTTATTTCCTGTTGAGAAAATAAGAGTCAAAAAGAAAAACATGACTGAGAAAAACATTCCACCACAGAACCTGAATTCCACTGGACTGAAAAATCTACAAAATAATCTTCATTTCAGGAGTTGATAGCGTTATTTTCAACCATATTAGTCT